GGAAACATGCCGGGCTCAAAGGGACAGAGGGGAGGTGGTGACTCTACTGGTTCTCCAGGGAGCAGAGGCTGGCCAGGCTGGTCAGGACGATGCAGCATGGGGGTGGAGGGAGTGATGTGGAGAATCCTGTCCAGGGATGAAGCTGCCTGATGCTTCTTTAGACAGGGAAGCAGATCAGGTGAACATGGCAAGAAATTTGAGGTGGAGGCTGTGCTTATCTGACTTCTGACTAACAGCAATCTCTGGAACTATCAAAAAGATTTATAGGTCTGGTGCTATGGCACAGTAGGTTAATCCTCCACCTGGAGTGCCGGCATCCATAAGGGCACCGATTTGAGTCCCAGCTGCTCCTCTTCCAGCTCTCTGCCATGGCCTGGGAAAGCAGTGGGAGATGGTCCAAGTCCTTGGGCCCCTGCACCTGCGTGGGAGACCTGGAAGAGGCTCCTGGCTCCTGGCTTCGGATTGGTCCAGCTCTAGCCATTGCAGCTATTTGGGGAGTGAACCAGTGGATGGGAAGACCTTTTTCTCTGTCTCTCCCTCTCACTGTCTGTAATTCTGTTTCTCAAATAAATTAAAAAAATCTTATTTAAAAAGAGATTTATTTTATTTATTTAAAAGGCAGAGATACAGAGAGAAAGGGAAAGAAAGAGAGACAGACGTCTTCCATCAGCTGGTTCACTCCCAAAAACGGCTAGGTCAGGCCGAAGCCAGAAGCCAGGAGCTTCTTCCAGGTCTCCCACGTGGGCCATCCTCTGCTGTTTTCCCAGGCACATTAGCAGGGAGCTGGATGGGAAGTGGAGCAGTCAGGATGCAAACTGGTGCCCATATGGGATGCCAGTGCTGCAGGCGGTAGCTTAACTCACTATGCCACACATTGGCCCCTCTGGAACTATCTTACAGTCTACCTGGAATGAACATATAGCCGCGTAACAAAGGATAATTTGCATGTGCACCAGACTTGCCTGTGTCTAGGTGTTTAAGTCATACTTTTTTTAGTTAGGGGTCAACTAGTCCAGCTCTTCACTTGCCAGGTAACCCCTTCATCTAACAGTCTGAGCAACTCGCTCAAGATCAGACTAATAGACAAGCATGAGCTCTGGAACCCACAAGTCTGAATTAAACCATGCCAGTGCGGGTCAGTACCTACACTCCTCAGGCTTTTTCCTATAGAACATTTAGTGTGGCAAGTGAGTCATGGCCGGCCCAGGAGGCTGAGAACAGCCTGATTCACCATTGACTTTCGGGAGAAGCCACATCAGACAGGAACACGCCTTGAAGCAGATTTCTCATGGGCCAAATGGAACATCTGCTGAACACCCATGTTCCATCCAGCTTGCTAGATACAAATACTTTGGCTGTAGTATTTTGAATTTGAATAAATCAGAGCACAGAAAGTGGAAGTGGTAGTAGTTCAAGCTGCTACTCTGCCACTGACCATCTATGTGACCTTGGGACAAATCTGAGCCCTAATGTCCACAGTTGTAAAACAGGAAAAACAGCATCCTATGTCTCTTAAAGGTTCTGTGGGGCTAAAACAAGATGAGGTTGTGGCAGCAACAGAATACTACCCAAACACAGGGTAGCAACTTCTCATTTTTAGTCTCCTGTAATCTAGAACAGCCCTTCTGCTAATCTAACTGTGTTGAGATAATTCACATATCTTTTCAAGTCAGTGTACAGTTGAATGGCTTTTAGTAACAATTACGTAACCACCACCCCTCCATTCCCCTGCCTGTTTTCTCCAGTTTTCCTCTTATCTACCTGGTACACACGGATTCATCCTGCACAGCTTGGCTCAAAAAATGGACTCCCTTTAACATTCTGTCCTTATCCTTGCTTAAGCACTTTCACGGTATTACAATTTTGGATGTATCCAGCCTTCCCCACACTGTGAACAAGACAGGAATAGTAACTACTAACATTTACAAAGCTCTTTACAGTGTATGAACTGCTTTCTGAATGGGTTCTTTCTTATGACCTTCGCATCTGACATTGCGCCCAGAACACTCACTTTATATTTATGGAATTAATTTGAGTTCCTTTTGTGACCTACGGAAGGGACAGCAGCAAGATGAACAACAAAATTTAAAGTTTCTCTTGAACTCAACAGCACACTTGCACAAGAGAGAGTCTTTTTCTTCCGCTTAAGTCTTGTTGCCAAAGCAAATGTTCCAGACAGAAGTACAGTCCACAGTTGATCATTGCTGTCACCCAGAACTCAGCTGCAAACTGATCGCCACTAATCTCTACATCCCTCTCCAAAATCCATTTTGAGGTCCAAATATTTGGTATTATAAAGAGACACCTGTCTAGAGTCCTGACCGTTTCTGCCCGGAGAGGATAAAATAGAGTTCTTGCCCTCAATAAGCTTGCAATCTGGTAGTTCAATGCAAAAATGTTTCTCTGCCTTTTCACAAGCGCCCTGGGAAGAAGGGAGAGCTATTAACTCAGTTTTACAGAGGAAGAGACAGGCTCCAGAGGCAAGCCGGCCAGCCTAAGATTACCCACAGGAAGAAGCAGAGTCAAGATCCATAACGAGGTCTTTCAAGTCTTAAGTCTTTTCCCAGGCAGCAAATGCTTTTGCAGGAGTTTAAACACACTTAGAACCTCAGAGGGTGGGCATCCTAGCTTGGCAGGGGGCGGGGGAGGAACAGGACAACAAGGCCACAGATAATGCAGCATGGGAATTGGAGCTCCGAAAGACATGTGAGGTTCTGATCAGCAAGTAGTTTGGTTTGGCTGCTGGGCTGACACCTTTCACAGGGCTATGGGGTAAAGGGCCACCTGAGATCAGATTAGAGCTGGCCGACCCCAGGCTTCCAGGTAGGTAACGTGCCATGCAGGACACTGCCTCCCTGTGAGGAGGGCAGGGTGAGGAAAGCTCACCCAAGAGAGAGCTCATGCTGTCTTCATGCCCAGAGGGATTCTTTGTTCTGGACAACATAACAAACACTGAAGGGATACAAAGACCTATTCAGCAAGTCCCTTTCTCTCTGCCCACTCACCAAAATAAAAATCCAGTTATCCCCTTGATTGCTTATGTTGGTAAGAGATCTGATCATCCCATCAGTCCAGGGCTGGGAGAGACCAGGAGAGATGACCCTCTGGCCTCCAATCTCAGGTAGTCATTCCTCATCACTGCAGGCCAGAAGATTAACCCGTTCCTGACCTCCTCGGGAAGAGTCACGCTAATGCCGAATTCCCACTCAGTTCTCACTATGTTCCTCTTCCCTCAGGAAAAAGGCTATTAAAAATCACAGCCAAGAGGCACACGCACTATTTCTCTAAATTGCACATAATACCTGGAGGATGACAACGTTTTAAATCCAAGCAGTCTATTAATGTTATTTCAGCATCTACAAATATGAAAAGTTTAAAAAAAAGGCAAAATTTCCCCCCAAATGTATTTCCAATGGTCTGTAATCCCACGACAGAACTCGATTAGTGATTAGACTAAAACCGGATGAGCTGCTATCCTAGGTGTGCATTCCAAAAGCAGGTACCCCTCTCCCAATCCGCTTGAGGCCAAGGCTCCGACCCACCAAGCAGGAAGGAGTTAATACGGACACTAACAGGTGGAGCCTTCACTGAGGATTTCAGACCTTGAAGGGCCCCCAGGATTCTACAAGAGACTCACAACCACCCTCTGACCTATGCCAGCTGTCCTAGGAGAGGCACTCCCTGGCCATCAGCAGTGGATACTACCTTGAGGTCAAAGGATTTCAGAGAGAAGTTCGAGCTACTTAAGCCTGCTGCTTACTCCTGATCTAAACTCTGGGGAAATGAAGAGCTGTATTTTCTCAAAGGGACCTAACGGCTACCTCTTGAGCTTTTAGAGTACATTAAACCGAGTGACAAGGTCTCTTCATCTACCATGCTACTTAATGGAACCAATACTTCCAGGTTTATCTGCAACAGAAACCGAGGCTTTGAGCAAAGAGTCAAAGTCACAGAGCTAGTGAGTGGTGTAGCCCAAGGTGCCAGCCAGGCACCTGCCTTTCCTCCCAAGAAGGTGTCCTGAAGTTCATTCCCATACTAGCTGTGCGCTATCACAACACACACAGCTGAGCGCGACACCTGTCAACACACACAAACACACACACCCCTCTCTCGGGTCAGAATCACCTGTCCCCTTCTGGAAACTGTACAGCAGTTTGAAAGACAGCGTGTGCAGACGCTAGTAACCTGTGCGCCCCTCTGACTCACCACCCTCACACCCACCTGAGGGGGCGGGGCTAGTGGGCACGGGACCCCCGGAGGCCCACTCTTTCATCCTGACTTGCTGCAAGGGACCCTACGTCCCCAGGCATCTCCTCCCTGGCCCGGAGCGTGAGAAGAGAAAACTGTAGCCACCCACGCGGCAGCGAGGCGCGCATAGTCCAGGCTCCATCCTGCTGCGAGCTAATCGTGACAAGGGGAAACTCAACGCTTTCCCAGGGGCCAGAACGCAGTGAGGAGCAGCCAGCCAGCGCTCTCCGGACTGCCAGGCTGACCCGTGTGGAGGACCCCCGGGCTGCTGCACTGGGACGCCGGAGGAAATCTGATTTCTTTCTGTCGCTCCCCTTCCACCCCCAGCCTCAGGTCCGAAGGAGGAAATAGGGGTTGGGTCTTCTAAACTACGTATACAGAGCTCCTGTACGTGGAGAACTTCAGGATAAGGTCCTGCCTCTCACCCTGCCTCATCCCACATCTTAAATCGAGCAATCAGCCGCCGACCGCTGAGGCGAGCTCAACACAGGTCCCGCAGGAAGCCCCTCCCGGCTGCCACCCTCTCCCAGACCACCGCGCAGACAGCGTGGCCGGGGGCAGAAGCACGAGACGCCGAGCCGCCTCCGGAGGCTCTCTCCGCAGACCGACTTGCTCAGGGCCGCCGGAGCCGCTGATGCACCCGCCGCCCACCGCGACTGCCGGCCGCGTCACACGTCCCTCACAGCCCACCCCGACTGCCGGCCGCGTCACACGTCCCTCACAGCCCACCCGGCGGCCGCGCCGAGGCTTACCTGCGCCGGGCACAGCAGCAGCAGGAGCAGGCCGAGCAACCGGCCGCGCGCGCTCACGGGGCCGCCGCGTGGGGCTGCAGACATCGCCGGGGACTCGGCTCGCCGGGTTCGGCGCTGCGGCTGTTGCTTCACTTCCCCGGGCTCAATTTCAGGAGCTGGCGCCGGACCACAGACAGAGCAGGTGCCGAAGGCGGCGGGCTGTGCGCGCAGGTCAGGAAGGAAGGCGGTGTCGCCGGCTCCTCCCCTCCTGGGGGCGGGCCTGTGTGGACGTGGTGAAGCGGGGGCCTGTCCGGGACGGGGACGGGGGCGGGGCCGCCCCGGGGCCTCCCCAGGTCTGGGGCTGCCCCTCTCCTCCTCTGCGGGTTCCCTGGGCCGCTGGCGTGGGGCTGGGGTGTCCCAGACCCCGGCAGCTGAACCTCTGGAAAGCGGCCTGCAAGTAGACTGCTAGAGTTGTGCAACATTTTATGGCTTTGATCTCGGCAGAGTATGTGTTTATTTCGGTCCCGATACGTACTCTCCTCCCCAGTCCAGTCACCCAAAAGGAATCTCGGCTCGGCCACAAGCTAACAGCGTTCGGGGCAGTGACGCGCCGTGGCCTGACCGCGCAAGGCTCGGGGAGCCCGAGAGGCGGAGCGCGGCGGCGGGCGGTGTCCCTCGGCCGCCTGGTCTTTGTTTACCCCGCTGCCGTCGGCTTTCGGAAAAGCGGTGGTAGCGGGGTCCCCTGGTGGCCACGCAGCGCCTGGCCGCGAACTGGGAGCGAGAAAACCCTCAAGTTTGGTGCAGAGCTGGGAACCAGAGTTCCTTTCCAATTCTAAGTGAAGGCAGGGAACACAAAGAAAAAGGAGAGGCGCGCGCACTTGCATAGTTTTAGTTTTGCACCTATTTTGTGCATTTTTGGTAACATTCGCCCTTCAATTTTCAGTTGCACCACAGTCATTTCAATTTGAAAGTTAAAATGAGAGTAAGGCTATCTTTCCCAAGAGCGAAGGCCAATTTACAATGAGAAAAGGCTGTCCGTTTGCAGCCATGAATTAGCCCAGCCGCCTACGGTGCTGTGAGGGAGGTGGCCTTCCGGGTCCTACCGTCCACAGCTCTGCCTCAGTTACTAACTTGCTTCCGCATTTCTTCAGCCCTGAGATGTCCATCCTGCTGGACCAGCCGTGAAAATACAGGGATTTCCTCTAAGGTCGACGCCAGGGCTCCCATGACGACCTCCTGGCCGCCATTTACCAAAACAGCAATAAAAAGGTCCTTTGGGGTCTGGCGTTGTGGTGTGGCTGATAAAGCTGCCGCCTGCAGTGCCGGCATCCCGTAAGGGCGCCAGTTTACTGGAGTGCCTGCTGCTCCACTTCTGATCCAGCTCCCTGCTAATGGCCTGGGAAAGCAGTGGAGGATGGCCCAAGAGCTTGGGCCCTGCACCCGCATGGGAGATCTGGATGAAGCTCTTGGTTCCTGGCTTTGGCCTGGCCCAGCTGCAGCCATCTGGGGAGAGAACCAGCCGATAGACAATTTCTCTCTCTCTCTCTCTCTCTCTCTGTAATTCTTTCAAATAAATAAAATAAATATTAAAAATATCTTTTAGATTTCTGATTCTCAGCCTTTTATAGTTTCAGCAATGCCCTAAAATCTAGGAAATGTTTTTAAAATAAATGACCATCTCTCCATGAGAATTTTTTGAGAGAATTAGAGGGGTTTTGAAAAATTCATGAAAAATGCAGATTATGAAGAAAACTATGGGTTTCAATATTTTTTGATCCAAATTTATCTTTTAATTTCCTTTTCCAGGAACTGTTGAAAGCAGTCACATTTGTGAATCTGTGAACTTCTAAAACACGTGGGAACCTACTGCAAGGTTTCATCTTGCTTTCTTACATTTGCCATAGGCTTTCTACCTCACTACCTTTAATAATTGTGGAGGCTTTTATTCCACGTATGTAACAGTTTTGGAACCTGGATTCCTGCAGGCCAGCCACAGAAGAGTATCTAAATGAAGTGCAGATCATTAACCAGCAAGTATTTCACAAGAGCTCACTTTCTGCACCCGCAGTCCCTGCACATGCGAGAAGCGCGTGTGTTCCCAGCTATACCCCATCTGTCCTTTTCCATAGTCTTCCTCATCCCTGAGCGTATCTGGACGCCACAAAGCCCTTCTCATGGCATTGAATCACCAACGTCCAAAAGCTGTCGAATGGTTCCTTTAGGGAGAGAGATGGGAGAGTGCACCCAAGACGAAATTCTCTGTAGCTGACAGAGGAAAGAGAGAGCTACAAGTACTCGTGTTAACAGTTTTTGATCTATTATATAATTAATTTAGTCCATCTCTCTCTCTCTCTCTCTTTTTTTTTTTTTTTTTAAAGGCAGAGTTAGACAGAGAGAGGAGAGAGACAGAGAAAGGTCTTGCTTCTCTTGGTTCACCCCCCAAATGGCTGCTACTGCCGGTACGCTGTGCCGATTGAAGCCAGGAGCCAGGTGCTTCCTCCTGGTCTTCCATGCGGGTGCAGGGCCCAAGCACTTGGTCCATCCTCCACTGCCTTCCTGGGCCACAGCAGAGAGCTGGACTGGAAGAGGAGAGAGGGAGAGAGAGCTTTTCTATCCACTGGTTCATTACCCAAAAGGCCACAATGGCCAGGGCTCCTGTTGGACATTAGTTTGTCACTTATTGAAAATAATGATGCAGTGAATATCCTTGAGGCTCAATCTTTGCAAACATAAACAAACTGAACTGTTGGATTTTTTATGTTATTGGGTCAAAAGAAAAATGTGTTTAAGTCTTGATCAGTGTTGAATTGCCCTCCAAAGAGGTTGCAGGTTACCAGCAGTGCCAGCCAAGGAGGGAAGGGCTGATGCCCCACGCCTTGCTGTGCAGGTGGGTGAAAAACAGCCTTTCTGATTTCACCTCTTGTTTTCAGGAATATTAGGATCATTACACAATGTAGGCCTCTATTGAAACAGCAAACTGTGTCCCATGAACATGTCCAATTATGTGTTGTTTAAAATATATTTTAAAAATTGGGGGGCTCTAATTTTGTATTTTTTTGCTATAAGTGAGATATTAAAGAATATTTTTATATGTTCAAAAGTGATTTTATTTCATCTTCTGTGCACTTCCTTTTCTATTACGGTGCTTTAATTTTCATCTTGATTTGTAAAAACTTTTTATTCACTAAGAAAACTAACCTGTGGACCTAGCATATCTGGTGCAGCGACTTTTACCAGGTTACTAGTTTTGTAGGGTCATAAAAACTATTCCATATTTTCCTGTAAAATGTTGCTGATTTCGAGGCAACATTTCGAGGTAAAATGAGGCTGACTATGGTGCCATGGGGTAAGCTACTGCTAAAGGACACCCACATCCCATATTGGATTGCCAGTTCGAGGCCTGGCTGCTCTGCATCCGATCCAAATTCCTGCCGATGCATCCTTGGAAGTAGAGGATAGTGGCTCAAGTGCTTGGGTACCTGGCACCCATATGGGAAAGCAGGATGGAGTTCCTGGCTCCTGGCTTCAGCCTGGCTCAGCCCTGGCTGTGGAAGGCATTTGAGAAATGAACTAGCAGACTGAAGCGCACTCTCTCTCTCTCTGTTTATCCTTCTGCCTTTCAAGTAGATGAAGAAATGAATAAACACTTAAAAGTTGTAAGGAATTCAGGAAAGCAGTAACCTACTTGGAATTATTTTGCTGTACAGTGCGATGTAAGGAGCCAGCTTCCCTCTTCCCTCAACGCCTGGACGATCTCATGCATACCTGCTCTCCTCAAGGTCATCACTGATTTCCGTGTCGCCAAAACCAGCCACAGTTCCTTTGTTCTCATCTCACTTGACCTCTTAGTTGCATTCAACACAGGTGCCTACTGTGAGACGTATTCTTTATGCCTCACTCTTCAAGTTATCCCATTGGCTAAACATTGACTATATTTCATTGGCTAGATGATGGCATGATTTGAGCATTTAGCTGTGTTCATAGAATTGAATAACAATGAAATAACCTGGATTTATTCTCAAAGAATTCTTCTCTCTGCTACTGATTTGTAGCCTTCAAGGCAGCAGGCTTAACCGCTGCACAGATTTCAACTTGCCTTGTCCCTAACTTACAGCCTGAAGTTCAACAACAAGAGAAGGAAGGTAGAGCTGAGCCTGTTTCTTTTTACTTTTTATTTATTTATTTATGTTTCCCAAAGAAACCTTTTATTTAAGAAGTACAAATTTCATAAGTACAACTTTAGGAATACAGTGATTCTTCCCACCATACATACCCTCCTACCCCCACTCCCACCCCACTTCCTCCTCCATCTCCAATTCCAGTCCCATTCTCTATTAAGATTCAACAATTTGTGTGCACACACACACACACACACACAGTTTGAGAACAAGTTTTACTGTTAATTCTCATAATATAACTCACTGAGGACAGAGATCCTGCATGAAAAGTAAGTGCACAGTGACCCCTGTTGTTAATTTAACAATTAACACTCTTACGTATGACGTCACCGATCACCAAGAGGCTCTTAACATGAACTGCCTAGGCTATGCAAGCCTTTTGAGTCCACAAACTCCGTCAATATTTAGACAAGGCCATAAACAAAGTGGAAGTTCTCTCCTCCCTTCAGAGAAAAGTACATCCTTTCTTCCTTTGATGGCCATTTCTTTCCATTGGGGTCTCACTCACAGATATCCTTCGTGTAGGACTTTTTTTTTTTTTTTTTTGCCACAGTGTCTTGGCTTTCCATGCCTAAAATAGAGCTGAGCCTTTGGAGTAACTGGATGCAACCAACTTCATTGCACAATATCTGGGACCACTGTTGATGCACCTGGCAGCTCTCTACTTTGGTTGGTTTATTTTTTCACATTTTCTGCCATAACAAAATACCATAGACTGGGTGGCTTGAATGATAGGAATTTATTTCTCACAGTTCCGGAGCCTGGTCCAAGATCTGGTACCAGCAGATTCAGTGTCTGGTGGGGGCCTGCTGTAATAGGTGTTGGCCAGATTCCTGGCTTGCAGCAGCTGCTTTCTCACTGTGTCCTCACATGGCCCTTCCTTGGTGTATGCTCTTCCTAGATGGACACCAATCATATTGGGTTAAGGCCCCATGTTTATGACCTCATTTAGACTTAATTACCTCCTAAAAGACCTAGCTCCAAATATAGTCCCGTGGGGGGGCAATTTTGGGGAATACAATTCAGCCCATAGCACCCCTCTTTTTG